AGAGGGGAGGGGGTTCCCGTTTCTGCTCCTGGAAGAGGAGATTTGTGCAAGCTGCTAACCTCAGAGCGAACATCAAATCCTCTGAGCTCAAAGCACCTGTTGAAAACCAAACACCGGGAAACTCGAGATGTTGCTCCATGTACAGCCCTTTGTGTTGACATTCGGTGTTAGTAACTGAGAGAATTAACAGATATGATATGAAATATGAAAAAGCTTAACAGGATCTAATCTTTCCCACACTCTCTATCCTTTCTTCCTGATGCAGCTGTCCCTGACCCAGAGTGACATCAGCCACATTGGCTCCATGAGAGTGGAGGGCATTGTCCACCCAACCACGGCCGAAATTGACCTCAAGGAAGACATAGGTAAGGTCCCCAGACTTTGGTAGAGGCGCCGCAGTACAGCCCACTGTTCGGGCAAGCTCTCCTGAGGTTGGTCCTTGTCCGCTGGCTGTCCCCGGCTTGGGGTGCTTACCTTTATATGTAGCTGAACAGCATTACCAGAGAGTAACTAATTTTGTTTTAAATCTGCATACATTTTTGAAATTTTCATTGAAATGTTAGATAAAAACAGATCATTAGTGCACAGCTTGGTGAATTTTTCTTAAAGTGAATACATCTTTGCAACCGGCACCTTGATCATGAAGCAGAACCTTACCAGCACCTCAGAAGTCCCCTTCTCCCCACTCGCAGTCACCATTCCCTCCAAGGTGACCACTATCTTGTCTTCTAACAGCACAGATGGCGTCATCTGTTTTGGAGTCTTTATAAATGAAATCATGCAGTGCGTCTTCTTTTGTGTCTGCCTCCTTTTGCTCACCTTTGTATTTGTGAAGTTCACTCATGTTGTTGAGTATGGTTGTAGTCCATTCATTTTTTTTGCTGAATACTATTCCACTGCAGGGATATATCCCAATTTGTTGATCCATTCTACCATTGGTGGCATTCAGGTGGTTTTTGGTTTAGATAATAATGAGTAATACTGGTACAAACATTGTTGTACATGTTTTGGGTTAAATTCTACATATATTTTAAGCTTAAATATTGAGAAAACCATCGATAAAAAGGAAATGGACACCTAGGAAAAGTTCATTGTCTTAAGGCAGGAGATGTTACCAGGCTAGGTAGAAGAGCCTGGGAAGGGAAGCTAGGAAGGGCACTAGAAATAATAGCATACTCAATGGTCACCATCTATCTCAGCCCTGGCCGGTGTGGCTCAGTTGGTTGGGTGTTGTCCCTCGCATCAAAAGGTTGCCGGCTCAATTCCCGGTCAGGGCACATGCCCAGGCTGTGGCCTTAATCCTCAGTAGGTGGGCATCCAATCAAGGCATTAAATCAAATGAACACAACAGGTACTGAGCCCAGAGAACAGAACACTGGAGCCTCAATTTAAAAAATAATAATAATAATAATCTTCAGGATTTCTGTCAGGAGACACGTTATGGTCAAGTCACCCCCTAAGAAGGTCCTTGAAGAGTTTGTTAGAATCTAAGTCCCGATGGACAGAAGCCAGACCCCTGCCACAGGTGACCACTGGCAAACCAGGATTTCGGTTGCAAAGTTTTATTCAAGTACGGTTGGTTGGTTTTCTCTGGCCTCGTGAAAGTGTGTCTGACAGTGTGATTGGTGGCAGTGAAAGAACAGCCACAGTGTCCCCCCCTTGTTGTCCTCACAGGGAAGGCCTTGGAGAAGGCGGGGGGCAAGGAGTTCCTGGAGACGGTGAAGGAGCTGCGCAAGTCCCAGGGCCCCTTGGAAGTGGCTGAAGGTGAGTGTGGAGCTGGCCATGTTCCCAGCACAGCCTCGCACCCCCCGCTCCAGCGTCACAGGCTTCCCACACGCTCAGTTTGCAAAGTAAAGTCTGCCGTGCCTACTCAGAGAGTTATTTTTTAATTTGAACAGTCCCAGGTGGATCATGTCAGGTCCTTCGGGGGCTATAAAGTATCGGGATAGTTCAAGTCAGGGTGCTTCAGGTCACCCAAAAATGGTCCGGAGTTATTGGGTAACCTTCAGTCATTCTCCTCCCTCGGCTCCTGGCGACCGTCAGTCTCCTCTGTCTGTGGATTTGCCTGTCCTGGGCATGTCATATAAATGGAGTCAGACAATATAGGACATTTTGTGTCTGGCTCCTTTCACAAATAATTTCTTCGAGGTGTATCAGAACGTCATTCCTTTTTCATGGCTGAATAATATTCCATTTTGCTTATCCATTCATCACTGGGTGGTTTCCGCCTTTAGCTACTGTGAATAGAGCTCCTATAAACATCTGTGCGCAAGTTTTTGTTTGACACCTGTTTTCAAGACTATTGGGTAATTTTTGATGGATGTGTTCAACCTCAGATCTGTGTTCCCCCCCAAACCCCTACACCCCCATGGCTATCTAGTCAGTGCCAGGTGCTGCCCTGATGCCAGGGCCCCAAAGGCAATACATCCCCCTCCTGTCCACAAGCACCGAACAGCCTAGGAGGCAAGACAGACTCGATAATGGGGCACAGAGAGATGGGAGCAGGACTGCAGAGCCCACCCTCTGCTTGGGGGAGAAGTGGAATCTCCAGGAGGGTATAAGACCCACTTGAGGGCAGGGACATCATGGCCATAGGGCGTTGTGTGTGAGAAGGCTCGGGCCATGAGCCAGCAGGGAGCAGCAGGTAGGAGACCCTGTATAGACGAGAGGGGCGCCTTTGACCGTTGAAGCAAGGGGCTTATGATCAGATGACTAGTAGATGCTGGAGAAGTAATGGGTCTTCCAGTCTAGAAAGAGTGGGAGTCCATCCTGTAGAGTCTGCACATGCCATTCCCCATTCACATAGCAATGATAGCATTTGTTTAAAAAATTTTAAGACAGAGCCACACTGAAATATAAGACAGACATACACGTGGGCAGGGGTAGGAGCGCTGCTTGGGGCAGCAGCAGGAAGGGCTAAGCTGTGGGTGTGGGCTCCAGGCCTGCAATATGCTGAACCATCAGGAGGTGGGCTCTTAGGTGGTGATGAGAACAGAGTCACCTCCTCCGGGGAGGGAACCAAAGCCAGACTCCGTGCCGAAAGCAACGCCCGTGGCCTTTCGCTCAGACCACCACCAGGGCCTGGCTTGTGCGAAAACTGTTTTCTAGGGGAGCCGATGGGAGCAGGGAGCCTCTCGCCCAGGCCACATGCCCACTGGCTCAGTACGTGGACCTACCACACCCCTGCCCGGTCATGAGACAGAGCCCTGAATTGGCCACAAAGATTGGATCTGGGCTGGGAGTCTAGGGAAGGCACCCAGCAGACTGCTTGTCAGGATGGGAAAGAGGAAACAGCTGCTCTGCTTAGAATGAGAGGCTCCATCTTGCGTCTGAAGTTCCAGAGGCGGAAGAGAGAAGGTAGAGAAGCCGTGTTTTAAAAGATCATTGCTGTGCGATTTCCAGAATGAAACCTGGGTCCTCGGGTTGAAAAGATTGAGGATAGCCCTAGTCCGTGTGGCTCAGTGGATAGAGCATCGGCCTGCAGACCAAAGGGTCCCAGGTTCAATTCCAGTCAAGGGCACGTACCTTGGTTGCAGGCTCCTCCCCGGCCAGAGCCCTGGTCGGGGCACATGCCGGAGGCAACCAATCAATGAGTTTCTCTCACATCACTATTTCTTTCTGTCTTTCCCGCTCTCTCTAAAAATCAATGGAAACATATTCTCGGATGAGGATTAAAGATAAATAAATAAATAAAATTGAGTGTAGTTCATGGAAGTTGTGGTGAGACTTCAGAAGTTCAAACTCAAGAGAACCCTGAAAAGCAACCCACGAGGAAAGGCAGATGGTTCGCAGACAGTTCTCCCGACAGCGACTTCTCTCAGCAACAAAGGTGCTTGGAGGTGGGAAGGAAGCCTCTTCCGGAACACGGAGGGGAGGGGACACTGTCCACCCAGAACTCCACGGGAGGGAGGAGAAGGATGCAGTTTCCGACGTCCAGGAGTCGGGTCAGAAACCCGCAGCCTCCCTGCAAGGACAGCTGAGGGCCGCACTGTGAGAAACAAGTGAACCCAGGAGACGGCTGCTGGGAACGGAGCTCAGACGCTGGGGCAGGTCTCTTAGGACCAGGCCTCCTGGGAGTGGGGTCTCCCTGGGAAGATGGGACGGGGGTGGGGGGGGGTGAATCTGGAAAAGGGGAGGCAGTTTATTAAGTTCTAATATCACATTTCATTTCGTTTCAAAACAGCATCACTTGTAAGAAATGCCCTGCTGTATATTCCATTAAGAAAGAATAGATTTCCGAGATGGGGTATCTAGTAGGAGGCCCCCCATAAAGCCAGGACACATTTAGTTTAAAAGCAAGCAAGACACGCCCCCACTAGGCACAGAGGGCAGCAGGTGTGTATCTCGACCTTGGCGTTGAGTCGACCAAAGGGCAAGAACCTCCCTAGAGAATCTGACCCGCAGCCGGGCAGACGTGCAGCCAAATCCAGGGCGGCCCAGAAACCTCAGGCAGGGAGGTCAGTGGGACACGACCTTGAGTTGTTAGTGTCCCCAGGCGGCACGGAGGCGGATGCACCTGCTCTGTGAAAGGACTCGGCTCGGCCCAGGCTGACAGTGGTTCGGTGCGTCGTGGTTTCAGCCGGAAGCTGGATGGGCCGGGGTGGGAGGTGGCGGTGGAAACGAAGCAGCGGGGCCTGGGATGGGACAAGTTTGAGGAAAGCGGCTGGTGTTCCCGTGACAGGGAGGGAGAGAGGGGACTCGGTTTCCGGGGTCAGTGGGGCCCATGTTGGACCTGGGGCACATGTCACAAGCTGTGTGAAGGCCTGCTCCCTGCAGGCTCCTCGGAGATGATCAGGAAGACAGTCACTGTGGGGGAGCGGAGGGCCAGGTGCGTGGCTCCGACTTACGGAGGATCCGGTCACGAGCACAAGCCGCACCAGACCTGCTGAGTGGGGATCTCAGGGTGGGGATGGACACGTCTATTGGTCAGTCTAAAAGCCATTGTATTGGTTTCCTGTCGCTGCTATAAAAAAATTACCACAAGCCCCAGCCGATGTGGCTCAGAAGATAGAGCGTCGGCCTGCGTACCAAAGGGTCCCCGGTTCGATTCCCGTCAAGGGCTCATGCCCGGGTTGCAGGCTCAGTCCCCAGTAGGGGGCCTGCAGGAGGCAGCCAACCCATGGTTCTCTCTCATCATTGATGTTTCTCTCTCCCTTTTCCTCTCTGAAATAAAAAAATATATTTTTAAAAAATACCACACATTTCGTGGCTTCAGACAACACAGATGTTTTCTCTCTGAGCTCTGGAGGTCAGAGGTCCAGAGGCCCCTGCACCCAGGTGCTAGCAGTGCTGCTCCTGCTCAGAGGAACCAGCCTCTTCCAGTCCTGGCTGCCACGTCCCCGGCTCCTGGACGCAGCTCTCCCATCTCTGCTTCATCATCTTCTCCCGTGACCTTCCTGCTCCCTCTCCAAAGGACTGTGTTCCCATCTCAGCGTCCCTCCCTGACTCCCATCGCAAAGCCCTTATGCCACGTAGGTAACAGGCACAGCTTCCAGGGATCCGGATGTGGACATCTGGGGAGGCCACTCCGCAGCCTCCCACCGCCCCAGAGATAACTCTGATGTGCACCTTCGAGCAGGACCCCGGGGAATAGGCAGCCTCACCCCGTCACTAGTTGGCAGGGCACAGGCAAGTCACGTGGTGCCACGTCAGCTTTAAAGGAAGCTTGTGCCGCTGTCAGAGCGATTCCGGCACAGCTCCCGCTCTGTGACCCTGCAGTCCCCTTCGAAGGCACAGGAGGTTGTCCAGTCGCCTTCTCTGTCGCCTCCTTGCCCCCACACACCTCACAGGTATATGTGGGGCTCGGCCCAACCCCCTGGCTTAGGGACTAACCTGCAGCGTTTCTCCCCCGTGTCCCAGCTGCTGTCAGCCAATCCAGCGGACTCGCGGCCAAGTTTGTCATCCACTGTCACATCCCTCAGTGGGGCTCGGACAAATGTGAAGAGCAGCTTGAAGAGACCATCAAGAACTGCCTGTCGGCAGCGGAGGACAAGAAGCTAAAGTCTGTGGCCTTCCCACCCTTCCCCAGTGGCAGGTAGGAGGGGCTTGGGAGGTGGGGGTGCGGGAGCACGGGCGGGGAGGTTCTGAGTCCAGCCTTCTCCCTGGGAGCCAGTGCTCTCTCTCCACTTACACATCCACTCTGGCCACTGCAGTCAAGACCAGAGGCTGCCAGCCACCATCCTTCAGAACACTCGGAGAGAGGAGCTTTGCGGAGAAGCGAGAGGCAGAAAACACATTTTGTTTTTAAATGTATTTTATTGATTTATGAAGGCCAGGAGGCCAAGGCTGTGACATGCACACCCAGAGAAATGAAAAGCTCTCGCCTAGGGTTTGTTTTTGGGGGTTAGAAGAGGTGAGGTCCCGTTTCTGTAAGTCACTGCTGCTGAAATGACATTCGCACATCTCTGTGTGTTGATGAGAGGAACATTAAGTGCATGAAAAGGAACTATCAACACAAGCTTTTGAGCATCCACTTTTGCCCTTTAATAAACAATCTACGACGTAAACTGGCTTTGAGGGAGCTAATGAAACCTTTCGGTGCTGTTTTGAAGACCAGGTGTTTGAAATGCTGAATTGGTAGTGTTTTCCAAGCCAAGCTTGACTGAAGTCGGGCTATGTATTCAAGCCCAGGGCACCGCTCGCTGGTCTGCCCTATGAGCTTGGCTAAAGCCACTGTGCCCGAGTCAGCGTGGCACCTGTGAGGTGAAGATATGGGCCCCCTTCTTCCCCCCACACACACCCCGGCGGTCGCTCTGACTGGCATCAAAGGAGATGGTGCGAGGACCAGCCTGCCCATGGTTAGACCCCGTGCGATGGCAGTCAGGGCCCGGGGCCAAGGTAAGAAGGGCCCGCTTTGCCCCCGCCCTGGGCTGTCACCCCAGGGTCCCAGGGGCCAGCGTGACACGGGCTCTCCTTTTCCTCCGGCGCAGAAACTGCTTCCCCAAACAGACGGCCGCTCAGGTGACCCTCAAAGCCATCTCGGCCCACTTCGACGACTCGAGCGCGTCCTCGCTGAAGAACGTCTACTTCCTGCTCTTCGACAGCGAGAGCATCGGCATCTACGTGCAGGAGATGGCCAAGCTCGACGCCAAGTAGCCCCGCGGCTGCGCTTGCCAGCAGGAGCTGCCGAGGATCGGTCACGGGCGCAGGTTTCATTTTTTAAGCGGAGAGAGGAAGGGAGCGTTGGGCGGCTGGAGGGAAGTGGGTGGCAGAGGCTGCGGGAGCAGGTCCCGCCCACGGAAGGAGCCTCTGCGTGTTATATTCTCGTTAACAAGAGCCTCAGTCCTAAAAACCAGGTCTCCACGAGGGGTTCTTTCCATGTGTTTTCTTCCTGTTGTTTTAGAACTTTTTAAAAAAAAAAACAGACTTCATTTTAGATTTATAGCATTGACTTTTACACACACCGAGAAAATCCTTTCAAAACTCTTGTCTTCTGTTTCTCCTTTTGCAAGGGAGGAGGGCGAACCAGGGGCCCGGGCTCTGCTCAGAGGCTCTGTGCTCCGTGACGGAGGAGAAAATTAGAAAGGCATCTCACTGGTGCTTTATCTTCCTTAGTGCCCCGCCCCGCCCCTATATCTGTAACCACTCCTCAGAAGGATTTATTCAGGCTTTTTTCTGTTTTGTTTTGTTTTTTAAAGAAAAAGAAAATGAAAGGAAAAAAAAATAAAAGATTCAGTGTCTTTCTTACAACATATTCTTTTATTGCAACATTTTCCTGTTTGGAAAACTGTCCCCATGGGTGTGGGCACGTCTAGAATGTTATAAACAGAACGAGCCTGTCTCCAACGGGCTTTGACTCCGCCATGCTAGCTGGGTAGGCCCCAGGCCAGACAGCACGGAATGGCCTGCTTTCTCAGGCATCGGTCCTGCTTCCAGAAGGGGGGCCCCGTGGGCCTTGGTCCATAGGAACTCGGCCCTGGGCAATGCCCCAATGAGAAAGCCATGCTTGGGGTAGAGGCACATGTCTCATCAGCCCAGGCCGCAGCCCAGACTGGGTGGAGTGGCTGGTGTCCAAGGACTCTGGCCAGGTATCCAGGGGCCACATCAAAGGGAAGCAGGGAGGGGCCGGCTGGGCAGGGCCAGAACCTGAGTTTATTCGGATGAACTGATCATCCACTTCTGCTGTGGCGTGAACGTGCAGGGTCCAAAATAGGCTCCTCCAGACTGACGTTCTCTCCCAAGCAGAGGAGTCAGTGTAGCCTTAACCTAGCTGCTGGCTGGCATCCTCACTACGGGGCCGGTCTCCAGGTCGGCGACATTCGGGTTGGCCAAGAGACCAGAAGCACAAAACCACAGAGGAGTTTTTTCACTTGTAAATTTGCCATGACAGCAGCCTGGAAGCACACGGGGCTCGTCTGCTCCCTGGATGTTCACCGTTGGGGACCCACCCAAAGGTCACGTAGCTCGGCTGCCCCCCCTTAAACACCTCCAGCAGCTGGCAGGCCAGGTCTCGGTCTTAACTTCCCTGAGCTCCGTAAAAACTTACTGTTAGCATGGACTAACCAACGGGGAAATTTTTATCTCTTTCTTCTTAAATATAACCTATGACATGTAATCATAGTATATATGGTATAAAAATGGAAATATAGAAAGTTTCGTTAAGATTAAAGACTGTAGGGACTAACAGTTTAAAATCAGCCTCCTACTGACAACTGGAGTATTGCAGGATGTGTGGGTTTCCCCACCCTCTGAACGACGGGCAAGACTGGGGTGCAGACCCCCTTCCTTAGCTGGTCTCACTTGGCAGGTCCCCCTTCCTGCCCTGCAGACAGGAAGCCAGCCCTCAGGAGACCAGCGCCCGCACATGCACACACATCCAGGGGAGCCTGCTATGCAGAAGGCTGGCTTCGCACTCCCAGGACCCAGTGAAGCATTCAGCCTTGCCAAACCCAGAAAGAATCCTCTAGGGGGTGTCTTTTTAGTCTCGCCTCTCTCTCTCTCTCTCTCTCTCTCTCGCGCGTCCCCCTCTCTCTCTCTCTCTCTCTCTCTCTCTCTCTCTCTCTCTCTCTCTCTCTCTCTCCTCTGTTTTTCTCCTCTCCAGTTTTGCTTTTCTGTAAGTTGTGTTTCTGGTGAGTACATCAGTGGCATCTTCCTCCAGAAAGAGTGCCCTTTGACAGCTGTCAGGCGGGTACCACTTGTCAGGCAATCCGTTCCCAGGTGGCGGTGGTACCTCGTCTCCCGCCCAGCCTCCTCCTCAGGGTGGAGACTGCCGCATGGTTTTCCAGCTCGTGGAGACGAACAGGTCCCGGCTCTTGGCCAGCCGAACCATGAAGCGCCCCACATAGAAGCCGCTGATCTGGCCCACGCCGTCATTTCTCCCCATGGCCAAGAGGAACGTCAGCGCACCTGCGGGGCAGAAGCACAGGTTAGAGTCCTGCTCCCCAGCTGTGGCGGGCGAGGCCCAGATTGATTGATTTATTACAAATGATTAAAGCACCCTAGGGAGTGTTTCTGTCGCCGGCTCTAAAAGTTTGTCCTAGCCCTGGCCGTTGGGGTTGGATGTCGTCCTGTGCACCGAAAGGTTGCCGGTTCAATTCCTGGTCAGTGTACTTGCTGGGCTTTCGGGCTCAGTGCCTGGTAGGGTGAGTGCAGGAGGCAGCCAATCGATGTTTTGCTCTCACATTGATGTTTCTTTCCCTCTCTCCCTCTCCCATAATTAATAAAAAAAAATTTTTTTTTTAAAGTTGGTACTAGTGGTCATTCATCTCAAAGACTTTCACCATGTCTAACCCCTACTCTCTTAAAACTGTGAAGCAAAAGTTGCCCTAGCTGGTTTGGCTCAGTGGATAGAGCGTGGGCCTGTGGACTGAAGGGTCCCAGGTATGATTCCAGTCAAGGGCACATGCCTGGGTTGCAGGCTCGATCCCCAGTAGGGGGCATGCAGGAGGCAGCCAATCAACGGTTCTCTCTCATCGTTGATGTTTCTATCTCTCCCTCTCCCTTCCTCTCTGAAATCAATAAAAATATATTTTTTTAAAAAACTGTGAAGCGCATGGGACTCCCTCACCTGGTTTATAGGCCTTGAAGGGCCTCTGTTTCATGGAGTTGACGATATTGGCCACGGCGATGTTGGCGTGGAGGCCAGCATGATAGGCCATCTTGGGCTCCTTCACGTCGGCACAGTCGCCGATGGCGTAGATGTGGCTGTAGCCCTCCACCTGGAGGTACTCGTTCACCTTCAGGGCACCATTGCTGGCCAGTCCACTATCTGCCAGGCAAAACCAACAGGAAACCAAAACCCTAAGCTGCCATGTTAAGTGGCCCCCAGAGCACAGAGGAGAGGAGCTCTGGTGCCGGTCAAGCCACCACAAGAGGCACAATCTCCGGAGGCGAGCCGCCCACCCAGTTTATTTCCGGTTGATTCCACCCCCCCACGCCCCCCCCTCCCCGAGAACTCCTCCTGCAGAGGCAAGGGTACCACTCCAGGGTGGAAACTGGTCAGAAAGACAGCAAGGGTCATTCTCTGTGCTGTGACTCTGTACATTACCATGGTTAACACAGTGCTTACGTTCACAACTTGGCCGAGTCCTGAACTTTCTTTTGAACGTGAATCAGATTTTTCAAATAAATACAGGGTTTTAATAAATGATAAACTTTTCATTTTAAGGGTCTTAAAAGTTTATCTTTGAAGTATATCATTAGGACAATTAGGTGTTAAGTTTTGGGCTCTCTGTCCATTAACCCTCAGTTCCACCCACATGCCTGGCCTGGACTAGCTTCCTTCCTCTGGGGTTGGATAAGTCTTTCCTGCAGGCACAGAGGGGGAGCTCCGCCGGCAGGAGTGGGACTCAGGCATCCATGCGGGGAACCTGAGAACACAGCACATGGGGCCTGACCAGGAGCCACTGAGTCTCCATTCACACATGGAGGCGGGAGGCCACCTGCTCCATGTTTCCGTCAGCTCAATGGTCCAATATTGAGCTTTAAGGACACGAAGCCACAATATTGTCCCCACGCCCCCAAATGGTCAGGGTTTGGGGAGAGCAGCACACCTGTGAAGAGAGAGCGGCCTGACCCCAGGATTTCCTCTGCATCCGCGATCCAAGGACAGGAACAGAAAGCAGATCTTTTCAGCTCTCTGACACCCGTTCTCATCTCCTGCTGCTTGGGGGCGGGCCCCAATTTTGGAAGAGTCTCTTCACCTTGCACATCTTGGGCTGTGGTCGGCAAACTGCGGCTTGGCAAACCGCAGAAAATACCAACTTCTGCGCACGGGCCACTAAGTTTCAATCGCACTGTACATGTGCGCCCACACGTGGTATTTTGTGGAAGAGCCACACTCAAGGGGGTAAAAAGCCGCATGTAGCTCGCGAGCCGCAGTTTGCCGACCACGGGGCTAAGTCATCATTATCACAGCTGAGGAAAGGACAACCAGAGTGAACCTGAACTTAAAGTTTGATGTCACCATTCAGAAGAGACAAAAGAGCTGCTGGGATGGAGGGGAAAGGTAGGGGGTGCTGATTCCTGGGGGAAAGGCCTGAGGGGCCTTGGACGCTGGGCAGTGAGGAGGCAACCTGAGCAGTGGCCAGTGGCTCTGCCACCTGCTTACCAAATGCACGGTGGTAGGCAAAGCTGTTGATCTTGATACCGTTGCAGACAATCACCAGGTTGGTGGTCACCTCAGTGCCTTTGTCCGTCTGTACACTGATGCACTCGCGGTACTCATTGAAAGGCAAATCCGCCATGTTGCTCACCCGCTCACCTGTCAAGGGAGGTCTGTGACCAGGAGGCTGGCAGAGGGTGGACAAGGCTTGTCCACGCCAAAGCTGACCCAGGGGAGTCTGCAGACCCCTGAAGGCCCCAGGAAAGGACTGGATGCTGTGGCCCAAGCAGGCAATGATTCCACTCCCCCTTCCCGCCCTGCTCCTCTCCCAGTCCACCTGCTACCCCCAGAAGCACCATCTGGACACCAGGCCCCCAGGGATACGATGGGAGGAAAGTTCCAAGAAGCAATTTGAGGTTGAGTTTCCCAAGTTCTGGGAAAATCTATTTGATGAAGATCTCCAACATGCCTCCCCTACTGTGAGCTATGCCACCCTGCTCAGGCAGCACAGGCCCTCCAGACACACCGGCAAAGGTGAAGCCAGCCTACCCTCCTCACTGCCTAAAAGTGGAGG